CTGTAGCTTTAAGGTGCTGGAAAAGGGAGGAAGTTTTTTCTTTTTCTCTTACTGCATTCTTGTGTTCTACGATGTGTGCATTTATTCTCCTGTTCGTTTGTCCAATGTATGTTGCAGGGCAGATTTTGCATGGTATTTCGTAGACTCCTTGGTTTTCTAGCTGGATTTTGTCTTTGGGGTTTCTTAAGATGTTGGCCATTTTTTTGGTCAGTGTTGAAGACTGTCTTGATATTGTGTTTGTGGAGAATTTTGCTGATTTTATCAGTGGTGCCTTTGATGTAAGGGAGGAGGGCTAAATCTTTTGTAGATTTTCACAGGTGTAGGTATGCTGGTCTTGTTGTATTTGGGTCTTTTCCCATGTAAGATTGAGATTGTCTTGGCAACGTTTCAGCGAGATCTTACTCGCCATCTTTTGAGCCCAAAACCCAGAATTATTTCCCAAGAAATAAGGATAATCTCAGTGCTGGGACAGGATTTCAATGGAATCAAAATAATAGTTTTAAGTGGAAACCCAGAGAGAGGCTAAATTCTGAAATTAACTGTTCCAACCAGTAAACCAAAATAAATGGCAATGATAAAAATTCCTGAAAGTGCTTTTTTATCAAAGCAAAACTGAAAAGCTGGGATGACAGACCATCATATGAAACAACCCTCAATTTTTCATAGTGTATTTTAATCAAAATATTATGAGCCTCCTTAATTTTTCTTTGTTGTTACTCTTATTCTTATACATATAAGACAGCAATAATGGGCTGACACCAGTTGCACACTCAAGTGATTAAATAATGACACTGTTTTCAGAGAGATTATTAGGCATTCCTTGATCTAATTGTGAAACTATTAATGGGAAAGAAGATAGAGGTATATTACAACACTGATTATAATGAACAGCAACCTTTGTGAAATTGTCTTGAGATTATAATTAGCTGAAATAGAGATGGCTTACTAATGAAGGAAGTATTAGTACTAACAAGAGGCATAAGCACAGGGCTGGCTGAGGTAAACATGGAAAATAATGTAAGGATTTAAAAAATTGAACATATGGCAAGAAATACTCAGAGAACTGTGTATAAGACTTGAGCTTGTTCTTATACAATGTGCAACCCAATTTGTTTTTGGTGTAATGTATACAAAACATAGAAATAAATATTGATTTATAAAGGTCTGTCTGCATAATGCATGTTGGTGACAATCATCGTAATTCAGAGAATGATTGTCATTTCTTTCAATAAAAGAAAGAAAATGCAGAACAAGAAACAGGAATATCCATTCCCTTTCAAGATGACTAAAGTGTTTAGTACAAAGAGAAAACATGTACTGTCTATGTATTTTGTCAAAGGTTTTTTGCCATCTAATGACAGGATTACAAATGGTCTTTTTTTAAAAATCTGTTAAATCTATCTAACTAACCTAATATTACCTGCTGTTTGTTTAGTTTATATAATACCTACTTGGTCATTTTTAATCACAAATGGTAACACTTGCTGTAATCTATTTGCTAACGCTGCATTTAAGATCTTTGTATCAACATAATCAATGAACAGCTGAGAGCAGATTGGATATAATCTTTACCTGATTTTGTTATTATTGTAATATAAATCTGATTAAATGCCTCTGATAATATTCCCTTATCAAGTATTTCATCATACCATTGACAGTTTTGGCACCAAAAGATCTATAAATATTTTCTATCACTTTATAAGGAAAACCATCCCCTTGCCACTTTTAAAATTATTTAATAGCTGCCTCCAATACTGAGGCAAATAACAGTTGTTTCTGTGTATCATCTAAGTACAATTACGTTTATTCTACTTTAAAAGTCCTCTATATCATCATCTGATATATTTGTTATGTGGTTTACCATATAGTTCTGAGTAAAAATTTAAAACATTGACAATTTATATCTCTTGTTTTATGTATTTTATATCTTTCACCTCTAAGAACTGGAATCATTGTCCTGTCTTTCTTTTGCTTTAAACAATTCTTCCTCTGTATTTATATATAGCAGTATATGGACATCTAACCATCTACACCTGAAAATATTTCAATTCATCTTTCAAATAATTTTCCTTCTTATTTTTAATCTTATTTTTCTATGATGCATAATCATTCTATTTTGGTTATAACATGTATATGCTTCCCATTCAAAAATTTGGCCCCTTGATATCTTTGGATTCTAATCAAAGTGTTGCAAAGTAGTCACCTGAACAATTTTTTTTTCATTTCACATACATCAAAAAATAGATTTAGAGTTTAACATTTGGCCTGTACAGAAAAGGACAGCCTAGAACAGCATTGGGTTAGGTATATAAGAAATATAATACTTCTTTAAAACAGGTATTTTTACACTGTTCAATCATTTAATGTTTTGGGAGAAAATAGCAAAAGATATAAGTGTAACTAAAAAAAATATTTTTTTCAGAAAGATATTGTGTTTCTCTTACAGGGTCTTATTTTCTTTTGACCCCCGAAATAAGGGCTTGGCCAAACCCACTGGCCCCGCCTGTATGGCCCCATTCATGTTGGAATGTATGGATTTCCATGCCTTCCTTTACTGTTCTGTGGACAGAATTGCCTGCTGTGATTGTCACCATTAGGTAAGGAGGGCGTGAGGCATCTGGGGTGTTCCACTTGGCCTCTGGCTTCTTTTGCAGCCAGAATTGGCTGTAAAAGCGACCATACTTGCTGGAGGCAGAGGTCTCAGTGACACCTGTGAATCAGCGGTTTCATGAAAAGAGCGGCTCAGCTATCTGATTAAGGGGCCAAGAAGCTGGCCATGCCCATCCCTTTACTAGGGCTTATTTTCGAGGGAGGACGTATATTAAGGGCAGCCCAAAAATCAAGCTTAGCCTTATTTTCAGGACATGTCGTATTTCCGGGAAGAAACAGTAATAATCTTTGAATTAAATAACTAGTTATTTAATTAAAATAACTAAATAATTAAAATAACATGTACCATTTCTAAATGGATTCTTCATGCCCTTATTATAGCTAAAAGATTCACAATGCAACACTGGAAATATAAATGTATAGTCCAATTTAATTAATGGACTGAAGATTTGATTACATTTGCTACTTATGAGTGGATTTGTGATGACTCCCTCTGATGCTTCCCCAGATACCTCTCCAGATGTCAGCTCTGAGGAGTATGAACCAGTCCAGGCACATATGGAGGGGAGTCAATGGCTCCAAGCAGCCATCTGAGAAGGGTTTAGCTGAAGCACAGCTGCATCAGGACAGCCCTGAGACTTCAGATGGGGAAAGCATGCAGCTTCAGCTGGTCAGCGATGAGAAACTCCCTTCTGCACCTGATCCAAGAACATGTAAGGCAGAGAAAAGGCCGGAGCAGTGAAGTTCAACCCAATTCCTCATGAGGAGGAAGCCTAAACCTTCTTGATGGGCTGCACTAGAAACTGGCTATTTAACACAGCAGACAGATGGAGGCAATGCTGGGAACATGTTCATTTCCTAGCTATGTGCCTTGACTTTAGATCATGCCGTGTGAACTCTGGACTTTTCTTGCCTCATGAATCCTCTTGTATTGTGGATTTAATTTTGCCTGCTGGTTTTATCTTTCAAGTGCCTTGTGGACTCATTGGCCATTGCTCTGTAGACTAGCATTTGGCTGCTTTTGGCTATACTTAATGGGGACAGTTCTGGGGTTTTGGTGAAAGGAATTGCTGGGTAATATTAATAAACCCACTAAACCACTGTTATGTATGCATGTGAGTGAGCAGGACAGCACAGGATAACATATAGATATAAACTTTGTATGGATAAATACAACAAAATATGGGAGTCATATATTCAAAATAATATAAGTTAAAAAATGACAGCTATATAAGATTATTAGAAATGAATACACAAAAGTGCACAGATATATGTGTGTATAATGCTTACATTAGATAATTATTTACAGAATTATAACTGTTTATTGCAACAATATATTATACCTTATATTATCTTTTTTGTTATATTTTTCACTCATTTTGTAAGAACCAATTTTTTTAATTACAGGTAGTCTTTGACTTACAACCTATTGCTAAGTGACCATTTGAAGTTACAATCTACTTGAAAAAGAAGACTTGAGACCTGAATCTGAAGTTGCAATGGTTGTCCTCCCCCCAGCCCCATAATCACATGACCAAACTTCAGGACTTGGCAACATGGCCGTATTTATGGCTGTTTGAAATATTGCCCAATCACATGACCACATTTTACTTTCATATTTTCATGAAACTGCTTAACAACCATGGCTGTCACTTAATAACAATCTATTTTTCTAGTGTAACAAACATGAAAATTTACATGAAAAATATTTTCCATGATTTCTTCTACAATCTGCAGAAGCGAATAAATTTCCACATAGGTAATAATGGATAATATTATTTTTACACATTTGATTCTTTCTAATTTTTAGTCATGATTCAATTACTTCATCATATTCTTTACATAGATTATATGAATCTATCCATTGTTCATTTATATTTCTACAGTAATCTGTATTAATTTTAAAAGGGCTTTCTATGTAATTCAGGAACTATTTTATCTTTTGCTATGCATGTCGGGTCTAACTCACAAGCTGTTAAGGAGATCCCTATAACAGTCTTTTGCAGTATTATTACTACATTATAAAATGAATACTGACTAATACCCTGAAAACTGACTTTTTATTTTATTTTTTGCATCCTGTTTTTATGAATGTTATAACAGAATAGGAGAGAAATTATTGGGGCTGAGCCCTTATTCCCACTCTTAATAGTGGGAAGTAACAGAAATTTTCAGTCATAATCAACAGAAAAGATAGAACACTATTCCATTTAAACATACTGCTTTTCAGCTTTTAAAAATTAACATCTTGTTCCACTTTTATTACTTCAAAAATGATGCACCTATCAACTAAAAATATGACAACTCATTCAGCAGAAGATGGCACACCACAAAAACACTATTCATATGCAAATGAACTTGTCACTTCACATTAACACCTACCATATGACACCAAGACAGCTATTTGCACGTTTTGTCTTTTTTATGGAACATGAAGATTTGCATGACAGTCTACAAATATACATAGAAAAGCTACTCACCTGTTTTTGGGCTCTACAAATGGAGAGGATCCATCTGTATCAGGATCCAGAATATTGTCTATTTCATTTTGTGTTTTTTCATACATCTTTTTTCTATCTGCCAAGCCCTTGTTGTCAATTTGTGGGAAATCATAATAGCCTTTCCGCTTGGCTTTCAATCGCAATTTGTTGCGATAGTGTTCTATATCAGACTTCTGTTTCAAGGCTTTGTTAATCTGACAATAAAATTTAAAAGGGAAAATATACAAATTAATAAAATTAGACTATAAATTTTTAAGGTGACTAATTCTTTGAAACAATAAACACAGTTGGAGTTCATTCAACCACACTATTCAGAACTTTTTAACAATTATTTTTAAGGCTTTCAGATAAAGTGTGATGCTCCACATATATGTAGCGGTCACTCAATCCAAATGAAGGCAGTAATGTCAGATCCATTGCTTATAGTAATTGTTTAAAAATGGAAAAGAGTACTGAATCAGTAATAGTTTAATGCTAACACTTCAGCAATCTTGGTCAAATTTTGTTTTAAATAAATGTTTTAAGTATTTCTAATTAAACAAGCATAATCTCAATGAGTTACATGATTGAATACGATATCTTTCTACAAATCTGAATGCATGATTACTATTTAGATGCTTCCATTTACTTATTCAAAATAAAAACTGAATATGAAAGCTGAAGGACATTTGGATGCCCTTCTAGTTAATTCCATTGCTTCAAAAAAAACCTACAGAGCTGCTAACAGTTCTCAAATGGTGATTAACTACTTAGGCCTACAATTACCAGGTGAAGAGAATAATATTGATGAACAAATTATCTGATCTTTTAATCCAGGGGTGTCAAACTCGATTTCATTGGGGGCCACATCAGGGTTGTGCTTGACCTTGGGGGGGAGGGTGGGTGTGGCAAGCTTGACATAACTCATGTCAGGGGCACCTGTGGAGGCCCGAGTGCTCTGCCAGTGAAAACAGGCTCCCGAGCTCCGTTTCAGCTGCCACAGCCTCCTGCAACCCTCTGCCAGTGAAAACAGAGCTTGGGAGCGCCGCAGGCCAGATCTAAGTACCCCATGGGCAGATCCAGGGCCCGGGCCTTCAGTTTGACACTCATGTTCCAACCTCTTGTGGTTCCCTATTTTCAACAATCACGGACTTCTCTAAGCAACTGGACATTTGAAAAAAAGACAATTTACTCTTAAAAACCCAGGAAAGACTATTAAAAATCTCTAAAAGTTTCAGATGGCAATTTCAGTTATGAGACCATGATTAAGAAATGGAAGCTACATGCAGAACAGAACCCACAGATCACAGCAGATAAAAGCTTTAGTTGGAGAAGCTATCTATAGATCCACTGTATAGAACTGCATAAACTTAGGAAAGCTATCAGAATTCAATTGATTTCACCAAAACATAAAAAGAAAACCCTGATAAACATGGAACATTTGTTTATTTTATTATGTTTATTAATTCATTCAATGTATATAGTCCATCCAGTCAACTCGAGATGGCCCATTTGGGCTCTTAAGTGCTTTGGACTTACTTGGAATCAAAAACTGTACCTTCATATTCAATCACATAATATTTTTCTTGAGTGAAGCATTTGAAGAGAATACTCTGGCTAATAGTTGTCTTTTCAAATTACTAAAGAGAATTACAGAAATCTCTTTAATAAGATTTATTAAGGGGAAAGGGAAAGTGATAGAATTCCAGCAAATTCTTATTAACTATTTTCAGTTTAGAATCAATGTATCTCAGTATAGAATATGGTGATGGTGATAAGAATCTTTTTCTCAGGATTCCCGTGACCTTAGGTACATTAGAAAAGAGGCAGCTATCTTCACACACAATGTGAACATTTACAGATGATTGTTTACATAAGTCACTTGAATCCATAGAAGCTCATGTCCCATAATCAATGAAACTAAAAGAAATAATAAAGCTTGTATAGGTCAGCAAGACACGTCTGAAGCATATCTACAAATCAACCACAAAATATTTACAAGAAAGAAGGATAAAAAGTTTGGAATGGCATTCACAGCCCCGATTTGAATATTAATCTAAATTTGTAGAAAAATCTGAATATACAGGAGACCCAAGAATATTTCTAAGCTATAAGAATTCTGCAAGAAAAAGTGGAGAAAAAAATCCCCCCCCCCAAAAAAATGATTTTGAATTACAACATTTTTACATGCAACTATGTCAAAACTCATGGCTTCAAAATCTCAAGGACTGGTTTGGAGAAAACTCAGCAGCACTTTTTCATGCCGCTGTTGGTAAAAATAGGATCGCTAATATGATCGCCAACGTCCAATAATGGATATGACATAAGAAGAAAAATGTCAAAATTCAGTGTCAGTAAATAACACTAGTGGTCTATGCCATGTCCCAAAATGGATGCTCAATGGAATGCACTGTAATATAACCACAGTCTAAACCATGCAATGTAGAACTGAATAACTATGTGTTACTGGGCAGTTTTTATGTATTAAAGGTTCTCAAATTATCTTATCACAGCAGAGGTAAAAAGAACAAATTTCAGCACAGTTTTGAAAGATTATTTAAGAATAAAGAAGAATCTGATTACACATTCACATATCAAGGCATAGCTGAAGGTAATATAAACTATAGATGGTAGTTTAGGAGAAGAATAGATGCAGTATAAATACAAACACAACGCTCCCCTTGGAATGTCCTCCTTAAGCAAAACGTCTTGACATACAGTATGTACATAACCTGCAGTAAGCTTCATTATCCTTCTTATCCTCTTGTTTTCTTTTAACTTCCCCACAGGGGAATATGTTCACAATTATATGCAATTATATTCATGCTTTCTTTCATAATTTAGAATATGACATCTATGGAAATTTTTATAATATAATCTTGAGTCAGAATTTCATATTCATTATCTAAAAGCTTTCTTCATAAAAGCTACATTGTTGAGAGTAGTTGCATGAGAATAAAACTATAGATGTTTGCCATCCTTCCATTTCATCATCTAAAAATTGTTTTCTTTCTAAAAGCTAATCTTTAACAATCAAAGTATTTTACTATGTGTAAAGGTAAATAAAGAAAAATAATGCCATTTGGGTTTCATTTATTTAATGGTGAAACTGAACTAGCATTCTTTTTTCATTGTATACATTTACACACATTTGATGCAATTAATTTGATGATTAATCTATGAGATATTTTTCCTTCCATTTGACACTATGTGTCATGCTCTTGGTAACAGAAAACAAAATTCTTAGAAACCTTTTTTAAAATATTTATTGAAAGAGAAAAAAGATTAGGTTATAGAAAAATTTAGACAACTGGATACTTTCATTTTAACGCACAATTTATCTTTAAACTTGCTCAGTCAGGGACTTCTTAATCACCTTGCTACCAATTGTTGGATGGACAAGAGAGATCCTAACTGTTTTCCTGATAACAGGACAATGTGCAATTGTTCTGAGCTAATGGTGCACTGCAAAATGTTTTCTACTTTCCCAGGCTCTGAGAAGCCTTTAACATTGTACTTTAAATACAGATGGCGAAGGGAAAAAAATAATTTCTCCTCTAAGAATGGTGCATATTTATCATTTCAACAAGGTAACAGAGGAAAACATATTCGGAAGAAAGGACAGTATGAAATGACTTTGGTCTGCCTCTCAGAATTGTTGCCAGAATCACTGGACGATTCCACTCACAATTTTTTGTCTTTGCTGCCAAGTCACCAATTGACTTAGTAGTCACATTATTGAGCATCCCCTCCTCATATCACTTCTTTAACAGATATCCTCAACATATAAAGAAAACCAATTATGTGATATAGTCTTACCTCCCCGTTAAGAATAGCTGTATCTTGGGTCCTCTCTGTTCCTGGCTGTGCAGGAGGCAAAGCTACAGGCTTTATTGCAATCAACTGTACAGATCCAGAAGATGTGTCAAACGGATCAATGGCAGATTTAGCCACATTGTCAAACAGCATGCTTCCATCCTCTTCATCACTTAAAGGCACTAAAATAAGTTAAAATTTAGTCAGTATATTATTTTGGCATTTTACATGTGGGCCACTGTGGGAGAAAGTAAAAATGAACTATGTTAGATACAGTAAACTGGAAAGCTCATTCTTCTACCTAGAATTATCACAGAAATGAAAACTATATTTATTTTTCCTTCTAATGTTATACTATATACCTTTTTATGATCCTGCAATTTCTTAATGTTCTTCCTGGTGCCTATGTGGGGTTCGCAACAGATATTTTTTCTTTGTGCCCTGGTAGAGAAACATCTGCCACTCTACCACCATTTGAGGGATCTACAATATGCTGATGATACTCAACTCTATATTTCGCTCTTGGTGAGCCAAGCAATGCTATGGCTACCCTCTTGTGGTGCCTGGAGCCTGTTGGGGCTTGCATGGGGGACAAAAGGCTTCAACTGAACCCTGGGAAGACCAAATGGGTTTGGTTACACAGGGTTCTGGGATCTGAGATGTTGCCATCTTTGACTCTGGATGAGATGGAACGCCCCCAGACAGATCTGGATCACAACTTGAGGGTTATCCTGGATTCCAACTCTGACTTGAAGAATAGGTGGCAGTTGCAACAAGGAGAACCTTTGCACAACTTCATATTGTGTGCCAATTGGGTCCTTTCCTGGATCAGGACTCCCTGCACTCAATCATCAGGCCCTAGTCATCTCATGGTTGGATTATTCAATCTTTCAGAGATTGCTCCAATCCAAGAAAAACCCTGTTCCCTTTCCCTCCACATATTCAATTGGAGAATAGCGGCTGTGCTTTCATTTCTTTCCTGCATGTTCTTTCCTAGTTTTGTCCTATCTAAACTACTTCTGCATGGCACAAAATCAGAAACTCTAGATGACAATGTATCCCATTAAAGATAGGAATGTTTATAAAATCCTCATAAATATAACTCTTCATCCCACTACAGAGAACATTTAAAGTAATGAGACCAAGGGGATGAAAACACATAAATTAAAGGTAAAGGTTTTCTACCATTGAGTTTAATTCCTGATAACTACATGTAATGGCTATGAAGATTTCTTGGCAACAACGTGGAAGTGGTTTGCCACTGCCTTTTTAGAGGATGTTTTTCTAATTTCTTAATCTGAAATTTCCTGGTGTATTTTTACGAATAAAATAACCAGTTCTCTCTCTCTCTCTCTCTCTCACACACACACACACACACACACACGTTGAAATCTAAATATATAGATTTTATAGTTGCAAATTCTCAAATACTTTTTCAACATTTGTGATGCTTTGGTTCACTTTAAGATTGTAGTAAAA